TTGATATCTATCGTCAACTGCCGCCTGTAATACTCGTCAGTCTCGCTTCCAACTCAATTAAATGTCACGTACTGTGTCTCCTCGATTTCCATCCCCATGGATAGGAACGTGCTTGGTGTCTCCTCCCGCCCCACCTCATCTCCGTCCCCCGTCCGCTCATACTCCTCCTTCGCCAATTTCAGCCTTATGTCCTTCAGAGTCGTCTCTGAGGGGCAACGTCAGTTCACATTCAGGAGCACCAATGCCAGCTAACACCCACTTACTGACTTCCGCATACTCGTACGGCGACTGCTTTTCGTTCTCCACGTGCCTCGTCTTCTCCCATTTCTCCACCCACGACCTCCACTCCTCCACAGCCTCCGGCATCGCCGCTGTTAGCCCAGCCGTGAACGCCTCAAACGACACCTTGTGCGACCTCCCCTCCTTGATACCCTCCGCCATTCATCGTTTCAAGATAAGCCCTGCAAATGATGTTATCAGCTCCCGCTCGCGCCAGAAGCCTATTCTACCTACGATGTGTGACCAGCCGTCTCCAGTTATGGAACCCAAACAAGCCCTCCAGCGAGGTGCACCTCGCCCCCAAGCCCATCAGTTTTGTTGAGGCAGCAGCGCCGTTCAAAAACTCCCAATTTTGCTCTACCGTTTCTCCGTGGGTGCAGCCCGCACCCCAAAGCCAATGGAACGAAAACGGTGAGTGACACCCGGTCTTGTGCGGAGGGAGGTGAAAGTTCGGCACCATCCATCGTATATTCAGTCGGTCGATCTTGAGATGGTACTTCGCCGGCAGCGCCGGCATCCGCGTCCAGATGTTCTTCGAGTACTGACATGCGATGTCATATGACAAGATTAACCACAGCAGCGCGAAGTTCAGCACCGCTGAGAAGAACAAAAAATCCATATTGCAACTCCTGGCCAAAATCAGCGTCAAGCAGAAATCTATCGCGCTCGCGCTCACCTTTCCCCAGCCTGAAGGTCTCCAAGGCCATTAGGGCGCCACATGTTGTGGCGCGCGCAGGTCACCCCGCCTATGCCAGTCACCCTCAAGCCCTTCACCCGCTTCGCGTTCGCAAGGAACATTGCCTGGAAACCCGAGCAACTCGACATCTCCTCCTCGTCAACGTGCTTGCGGATATGCGCTGAGTAATCTGCGCGATTGCAAAAATATCCAGTTCCGTCGTCGACGACAGGATCGCGCTCCTCAGTCGAAACGTTACGGTTGATGAGTTTGAAGTTGGCATCCTGCGACAGGATTAGGAAATATTTATATCTGTCCTCTTCTTAGTCTTGTCTCCTCGACGTTCATTTCGCTAAACACGCACCTTTGATCCTCATCCATCGCATCCCAGTCGATATCCTCCCACCCATCTGGCAGGTTCTTCTCAGGCTGCGGACAAGCGCGACAGTCCAAGGCGAGCTCCCCCTGGCCCGTGCCCGGAATCCCACTATCCTCCTGTCCCCTACCCGCCCTCTTCAGCATATCCATCATGCGATACTGTCGCACGATCGCGCGGAACGCCCGTCGACGATCCTGTACCTCGGTCAGTCTCCCTCTCTCTCCAGTTCTTCACAAATCCACTAACCTCCGTTGGCTTCAGGCCGTCGTTATTCGTCAGCAGCTCAAGCGACCGTACGAAATCGTACGCCGAGATTTTCCCCAGGCAATTTTGCACTTCAAACAACCTGATCGCGTTGAACGTAGCGCACGTTTGCGGGTCCAACGACGTCGCCGGCCATAGACACGCGCGCATTAGTTGCTGGCGATGGGTGACCATCGATTCGCAGCCGCAAAAATTAAGCTTCACGATGCGGATGCCCAACGTGTCGATCACGACAAAGTCTTTGTGCGCCGGCGTCGCCTTCGGGCAAAATGACCCAGGCACGTGTCCTAACTGAACGCGCGTTTCCACTGCCAATTCGTTCAGCGGCAGTGGCTCAAAAAAGTCGCCATTCCATTTCTGAAGTTCGCGTCAACAATGTGTTTGTGCAGCTGCAGACGAATTTAAGCGTACCTCAATCATATGCGTGGGCAATTGACGGTGCTGCAGCGCAACGCATGGTTCGCAGTACATCGCTGGCCCAAAGCAGGTCTGGCGCGAGCAACGAAAGAGTGGATCTGCGATCTTGCACCGCGCGCAGCTGCGGTAGAAACGCTCTGCTCCACGGCCCTCGGCCCTCAGCATCTCATCCAGCGTCTCGCTACGGTAATCTCGGATAAAAACTTGCATAGGAAAGTCCTGTCGCGACGAAGTCAGTCAGAATTCTGCGCTGCGCTGAAGCTCTGCGACATACCGCGTTCGCCCACCGCTCAAAGTTGCCCATCTCGGGGGGCACCTCTGAACTCTGGGGCGCCATCCGGATGCCGTCGTCGTCGGTCTCGTCGCGCTCTGACGCTGGCAGTGGTGGCGGCACTGCCCAAGCACCGTCGTCTCCCAAGAAATACGAGAAGTCGGGGTCCTCCAAGGCGCGTGCCGTGTCGTGGTCCTCCGCATGATAGTTCGGCAGGGTTGGGACCGTAGTGTCCAGCGCATTTGAGGTAAGCAAGGCCCGCCGGCCGTCCGCAGAAACCTCGACGGTGGTCGCAGTGTGTGGCTGGTGTGTGTGTAGCGCGCCCCTCGCTGCCGGTTTGCGCACGCCGCCGCGCAGTCCTGGTCCTCGCCCGCGACCTCGACCACTCATTGCGCAGAAGCTGAATGATTTTCGCTTGAAACGCCCCTCTTTGGCCATCACTGATGGTCGTGTTCGCTCGCACTTCATCCCCTTCCTCCACTCATGGCTGGTCTTCCCCCGAATCGACACGGCGTCCACCTCTCCCTCGCGCCGAGTAAGTCGTTCTTCATCCTTTCTTGGCTGCACTGACCCACCCCCTCTCCTTGCTAGCGACGAAACACATGTGCGAGGGGCACGTCCCGTGTCTCCTCTACAACAAAAGCACCGCCGATAGGCAGCGCATCTGCGATGCACTCGGCATCAGTAGCGCCAACACCCACGTACGCAGCACTATTGAGCGCGATCGCCGCCGCAGAGGCAGCCGTAAAATTCGAGACCTTCCCCTCAAAGAGGAGGACCTCTACGTGGGCCCTGAGCGGCCCCCTCCCCTCAAGACCGACCGCGCCCACCAGACGTGCAGCCTCTGTCTGCAGGTTAAGAGTCACCCCGTCGCGTACGCCCCCTCCTCTTCTTGCCCAACGTCTCCTGAATCCCTCTCCCCAGATATATGTGCGGACATAGCCACTGCTATGTCTGCATCCGCCTCCACTTGGAAAACAACTGGCTCTGCCCCATCCGCGACTGCCGCATCCTCATGCGCCGCGCTCCCCATCGCCATCATGCTGAAGAGGGAGGCATCGCGCTCGACTTCCCCGCCCGCAATGATCGCAGCGTGGTCACCTACGACTGGGAGGGCTTGACTTTCCCCCGCCCCCCGGTCTACGTCGAGGAGGAGTAGATATCTAGCTAAATTACTCACCTATGCTGCAAACACACGAACAGACCAATTCGATATTCTTGAGTAGTACGTTCAGTATTGCGTTCGGTGAAGTCGGACCCGCTGAGGACCCAAAAACAAAGCCGTTGTTGCAGCTCGTTTCACGAACTACAGCTACAACCCTGATTAAAAGGTGCTAGTGTTCCCCACTCCACTCCAGTAAGGGTAAAGGGCGCGACGGACTGGCTTGGGTTGTTGGGCGCGTGTAAATAATGCCGGAGATCTGGCCTGGTTAGTACACTCGGAATACTAGGTTTACCCGAGTGATTGTGGTTCGTGATTTTTCGCTGTTGTACAAGTTAGGCGGGGACGGTTTGCTTGATGCTGTTGATAAAAGGCCCTCCCCCACGAAGCCTTGAACCCGGGACACATGTCCCTAGATATGCGCTGGAACTGAAGGCTAGCGAGCCGACGAGTGTTCGGTGGTGGGTTGCTGAGGGCAGGATCGGCGCCGTCACATGAGCTCTCGGCACCGATTCCACACATCAGATGTCTGATTGCTCCCGTGCATCGCCTTTCGCCTCTTCCCTCTGCTCGGCGACACGTCCCCTCAACTGCGCTGGATTTAAAACAAAGCCTGGCTGCTACTCCCCCATTTCCTCCCTGGACAAAAGTCGCAGGCGCAACACCAATGCCAAGACCTCAAGACACCCACATCAAGACCCTCGCGTGGAGATCCTCCACAAGACCTCCAGACGCACACATCAAGAGCCTGGCATGGAGATCCTCCATTCATCCCCATTCCGCTGGTTTCTTTCCCTAGCGCGGTCCGCTAATCCCTCCTATCCCGAATCCATCGCTTTAGTTCTTGCCCTTCGCCACCACCATGCCCCGCAGTAACAGTGTGCGCGTCCCCCGCAAAGGTTTTTTTTTTGTTCGCCGCACTACTCGTCCTAAGGCTTAACGTTTTGCCTTCCCTAGGTACATTCCATTCCTCGCGCTGCCAGTTTTTGCGCACCCGCGCCGAACTCCTCGGCTTGACCCCTGGTAAAGTTCTTCGCCCCATATTGTAATTGCACTGATTACATGGCTTCTCTGCTGCAGCTGAGATTGTCGCCGACGCCCAGGCCTGGTCCACCGGGCCCGCCGCGAACGGGACCGCCCTCGGGTCACAGGTTTTTGGCTCCTGGGGCACGCCCTCGGCTAGCGTGAGCGGCTGGGAACAGCCTGTTTCGAGCGACGACGAGGTCCCGTGGGGGACGTGGACGGCCTCCAGCTGAGCAGCTTGGACCGGCAACCCACTGTCCAGCTGGCCAGCTTCGTCCACTGCGGAAGAGGCCCATGCCGAGGCGGCGCTAGCGCCTTGGGACGGAGCGCAGGCGTCGTAGTACAACTAGAAATTATTGTCTGCAGCTTTCTTGACGACGGTGCAATGAAATGATTTTAGTTCTGAAAAAAAACACTACAAAAGCGTAGTACGTGTTTCGAGCGAGACTCAGACAGATTTACAGAACGGCAGACGAAGAGAAGAAAAGAAAAAGAATGAAAAAAGAGTAAAAGGAAAGTGGGCAGCGAAAGGCTACGGACGGATTCGAACCGACAAATTCTGGTTACGCAAGCAAACGTAGACTCAGACGTACTAACCACTGTACCACACAGCCGCATAAACTCTCAGTACTGAACTCCTGACACCTCCAATACACCGGAGCGACGGGACTCCCAATTACGCTCACGTCACCAACTCGCCTTCGGGATTCACAGCCGACATCACCAACTCGTCGTGCAAAACTAAATCGACAACGGTGGGCCGGTGATTACAAGATTGGAACTTTTGCCAGCGTGAAGTTCCACAAGGCACCACCTATCTCAAAAATTCACAAGCCGCCTTTTCACCGAGGTCAAAGTGGAAAAAATTGGTTTTGTCGAACGAAAGGGGTAAATGTGGCAAATCACCAACTCGTCGACGTGAAAAATATTGCTGCAGGCATTACGCGGGCGCCTCTAGGTGCGTTATTTTTTCTGGGTGTGCAAAAACCGTGGTTCTAAACAGCTGTTATTCAAAGCCAGCCATAAACCCAGAGTACGGTGCATGTTATTTAAAATGGACACTATTGATCACTAACTCGTGCAATGAATTTAGGCATGTGCAGATTTCCTTATGCAGGCCTGATCCATCTCCAACCTTTTCGATGCCACCCACGGCCGGCGACAAAGCTCGCGCTGGCATTCAAAAACGCGTCGATAGAATGCGCCGCAAGATACATGCTATCGCGCAGTCAAAATATCGCGAGCGGTGAGATTTGTGTTTCACTGCACCGCGTCGATAGAATCTTGAAGATCAAGCAGAAACATGGACGTCCTGCGCGAGAAAGCCAGGGAAAGCATGAAAAGGTTGGTATATTTCCATTCATTTCTTATAAAACATCCTAAACTACTGAAACTACTAACAGGCATCGTGCCGCGATCAAGGAGAGTGAGGAGAAGACAAAGGCGGCGCGCGAGCAGAGACGGGAGGTAGACGCTGATTATCGGGAGCGGTGAGTATTTTGGCATGATAAAGTGGGAATTACTCACACGTGTATTGTCGCAGACAGCGCCAAAAGTAAGTTGAGTGCTGCTAGGCAGAGCTAAAGAGTGAATACGATGGGCAGGCATTGGATCAAAAAATTCGGTCAAGAGCCTTTTGAAAGGCTCTACGTACCCTTGTCACGCATTCACGGGAGGAACACCAGTAACCTGCAATTTGTTCGAGAACCGCCGAGACTGCTCACGGAGGACGACCAGGATGCGACGGGATCAAATGCCTAAAGAGGATGGATGTGACGAGGAGGGTGTTGGTTGGGGAGCGGTGGGTGGATGTGGTAGGTAGCGCATATGCCGTCGAGAAATAAATGCAAATTCGTTTTTGCAGACTCCTACCCTTCTTGAGTGTGTGCGTGACTATCACGTGACACCGAGCCAACTCCCATCCGCCATGATCCCGCGTCTGCGTGTCCCTCCCGCCATTGCAGCGCTGGCTGCCCCGCCCGCCAATTTTGTCCCTTGTCGGCTGCATGAGGCTTTCAGTGGGAATTTCAAGAACCACGGAGATTTCTCGCGGCAGGGCAACAAGACTTACTGGGTAGTGTTTTCTTGGGCACGAGAGGCCGTGTTCACGTTGAAGTGAGTGCCAGTATGGCGTGCGTTGGCGGTTCATTTCTGACGTGGTGTGCGGCAGGGCCGACTGCCTCGCGGGCAAAGAGCCCGAGGACGACGAGCGCGACGTTGTGGGTTCGTTCGCGGAGTGGGCAGACGTTGTCCGCGTTTGGGCGGCGTTCTGTTACCACCACCATGGGAAGTGCGAGCGCCACCCGCGCAGTTGTGCCCGGAGCATGTGCCCGGCGCACCCTCGTCCCTACGACCCACCCGCGGAACCTGGAAGGCGGGATCCACGAGTCAAGTTAGAGGTCAAGGTGGAGGTAGGTGTGGGCGTGAAGCGAGAGCGAGCAACGCCCAGACTGGAGACACCCAAACACCGCAGGGCGGAGACGTCAATGCGTCGGGCGCCGGTCTCCCACACGCCCGTTCTGCAGAGCCCCTCCGATGGCTACGACTCCGACGTCGTGGAGCCAGGCGGCGTGCCTTTGTGGGCGCCAGACACACCTCCGGCGGTGGCTGACGTTGCCGTGGCTAGCGCCGGGAGGAAGCGAGAGGCGAGTGGCGTTGTGGACGAGGATCACGCAGCGCGCTCACGCAGCAGACACGCGGGGACGACGGACTCCTCCAGAGCCCAATCTACCGCCGCAACTTCGCCACCAACGACAACACTGAGTTCAGCGAGTTCCCTGTCGGCTAGCACAGTGGAGACGGCAGCTCCTGCAGGAAAAGGCAAAGAACGCGCGATATACCCGCTGGCGTCCACATCGAGCATCTCGCGCGCGGCGCCTGCGCGCTCATCAACCTCACACGCGGCGGTGCCTGCGCGCCCAACAACCTCGCATGCTGCGGTGCCTGCTATCCCCCGGGCCGCGAGTCCTCGGACGGTGGCGTCGACTTCGAATGCGTCGACATCGAGAGTCGTACGCCTGAACGACCCTTTCTTCGTCAGCGCAGCGGGCATGATTCGCATCACGTCGGAGGCAGCTTTCGCGGATATTGGGGAGGGGCCGGTGAAGGTGGTGGTGGGGTGGGAGGCGGCGACGAAATACGCGGTGGAGTTGGCGGAGAAGGAGGCTGCAAGGGCGGGTGAAGGGGGAGACAGGATGGATTTGGACGTTTAATTTTATTTATTTATTTATTTTGGGGGGCGGGCCCACAACTACACCTTACTGGCTTGAACTTGTCTGTTATATATTTTGCTGCGACATTGACTGTTTTGCTTTTGCATCTCGATTCGTCGCCGTGGTTGTGTGTGTTTGGCTAGAACCTTCTTTGCGACGTTTCCTTCGACTGCCGGTCTGTCCCTCGTGCAAGATGCCGAATGTTAAAAGCAGGGTGGACAAGGAGAAGTGGAGGTTCCTAGAGAGTCACCTACCAAATTTTCTGAACGCCGCCCGACTGAGGAAAACGAGCGAGTTTTTCGAGTGGGTGTGGGGCTACTATTATCACCGCTTTGGCGTGGCGTCCCTCAACACGGCGTGGGTTCCAGCCGACACCGACAGTACCGTGGAGTTCACAGCTGACGAATTGGCCGCCCGGGACGCGCTGAACCAGATTGTGAAACGGGTGAGTGTGTTCTCAGAGCGGAAGTCGTGCGGCCGAACTGAGGCAGTATATAGAAAATTCGTGCTTGGTATCAATTCCAGGGTTTGAGGCGAAGGCGCCGGGTTGAGGCCTGAAAGTGGCGAACGTTTGAATGTCTTGAGGCGGTGTGCGTTTGGGACGAAGCAAGAGGCGTAGTTGGACGCAGAGTGGAAGAGAAACTGGAATGCATGGAACTTTGAATAAAACTGTTGCAGAGGAAAATTTAAATTGAATTGCATTGAAGAGTAATATGTATGGGACGGTCGGTGCGGACGACACTCGCCCTCGGAGGCTTCCTAATTCGGAGTGAGTGCACGTGGGGTAAAGTCTGTTGATCTCGTCGTACCAAGTCCAGCGACAAACCCATGTCCACCGCTAGAATAACAACCGGAGCCGCACCGCGCAGAGCCGTTCCCACTGGGCAGACAGCGCGAAAACGGTCGCGCAAGAAAGTCGACGGGCCAAAACGTGGAAAAGTACCGTGGATTCACGGCACAAAACTGGTATTTTTTGAGAAGCGCACCGAGGAATGGAAAGTCGCCAACGATCTGGGCGTTGTTCAGCTTGGGCGTTTCTACACGAAGGTCACCAACCTTTACCTGCTGAAGTACGGGCACGAGATGCAAGACGACGAAGACCTCGAGGAAGATGTCGAGGACCCGACAGACCCAGATGTAGTCCTCCCAGGGTCAGAAAATCTGAGCGAGGACGACGCGAAGGTCCAAAGCGAGAACACAATACGGGTGCGCAAGGTAGGCCTGGGTTTCTTGAGAATCACGAGTTGAGCTGACTTTCGAGTTGCCACAGAGGATTGCAGTGTGGTACTGTCGCAAGTACCGAGGCGTCGAGGTGGCCGAGAAGGAGTTGTTCGCCGACCTTCTGGGGGGCGTCGTCAGCACAGGGCCAGGCTACCCCAGGAAGGCGTAGCCCATCCACTTGTATTCTCGCAAGTATTACGAGGATAGAGTGAAGGCGCGTTTCGAGACGGCGTGGGAGGCAGAGAAGCACCGGGCGGAGGCTCTGGAGCGGGACCCGGAGGCTGAGATTAAAATTCGCAATGTCGTGACGCGTGAGGTGTTTGAAGAGGAGACACAGGAGTTCAGAGAGGAACTGGGCAAGGCGGTGGAGGCAGAGCACTCGGCGGCGATAAGAGCCTGGGAGCTGACGCGCGCAGACGCGCCGACAAAGACGGCAGCGGAGATTAACGCGTAAGTGGCGCCAGAAAGCAAGTTTGTCGAAGCTAACGACGAGAGCAGAGCCCTGAAGAACGCTGCTTTCTACCTGGAGCCACTGGCTGAAGCAATCAGCACGAAGTTCTTGATGAATTGCTCGATTCTGCTTTGTGGGCCCATTGGTGATCGTGGAGGCGGTATAGACGTGCGGAGGTAAGGTGGTCTTTATCTGACAGCGTCGTGAGAGGCTCATTATGAATAGCGTGCATGCCGGCACATCCAAGTCGCTGACACCGCAGAAATGGCACCAATTCGACAAGATGGGGTACGACGCGACGGTGAAGTCTTTTGTGCGGTTTAGCGAACGTTGCTTCAGTAAGAATTCACAAAATAATAAATTGGGATTTATTTCTAATCTAAAGAACACGTTGTATAGGCGAGGATGAGTGTCAAAGCAGGATTGTAGGGACGGAGTCCGCATCAAGCACATCGACTGTGTTGCCGCCGGCGCGACGGGGAGACGTGCAGACACCCGCCACCAACGACACAAATGGCGCGGCCGCAGTGGGAATGAGCAGCGCGCAAGGTGGCGCGGAGGGCGCGCAGGAAGGAGCGCACGAAGACTGGAATGGCGCGGGTGGTGCACGGGGGAACAGCAGGGCTGGTGGCGAGGACGGCGTGGGTGGTGGCGACAAGGACGGCGCGAGCGGTGCACAGGGGAACGCTGGGGGGGGTGACGAGGACGGTGCGGGTGGTGCACAGGGGAA